GGTGTTGTATTGTCGTTAACCATTAGTTCTCTTGGAAGAGTTAAAGTACTGACATTGTTACTTCTAAACCTACATTTTTGGAGTAGGAATGTGAAGCGCCTAAGATTCTCTTGTACCCTTTATTTTGTTCTGTCACTGTTGAAGCATCTTCTAGCTCATGTTGCATCAGATGTCTTCAGAAGCGTTGAGAAGATAGCTCATAACCTGCACTTACTCTTCACAATGAGATCAACTTTTAGGAGCGATAAATAGTTATGTCATTTTTTGACCCAAAAAAAAAACAGTTAGGTGTTTCGATGACATCACAATTGACGGATGGATTCTTGGAGATGGTAATGTCTAGCACTTGAGAAATTGGATTGTAAACAAGCTTTGTACTTCTGCATGCTTATTCTCATGGATATTTTAATGGTCATGTTAAATCGTCTAATTGCACTAGTATACTTCAGCGTTCTATGCTTGTTGGTTGGTGTAGTGTAGTGAGTTGTGGATAGTTTTATAACGATTCAATCGGTTGGAAGCCAATACTGAGTCTTACGAATTCAATATTGTGGGAAGTAATGATATGAATGCTAGGATTTGAAGGATAATCAAATGCTAGAAGTGCTTTTCTTGAAGTTCATGCACATTATGTTCTCTCTTTGTCTATAATGTTGGAAATTATGATTAATATTGCATCCTTTTGTGTCCTTATTCTTTAGAATGGTCTTATTTAAACGAAAAAAGAAAAAACTATGCTTTATGCATTTTATTTGCCTGAATGACTAAACCATATTGTTTGCCCATAATGTACTATAGAATAAAATTTGTTGAATCTATCCTGTCTCACCATACTCATCGTTTGCTTTTGTCGACAATTTCTGGGTCAAGTAATGACTGAGCTAGGTATAGTCCTTATCTCTTTGCAACTGTGAATTGACAAAAGTTCATCTGTGTGACTTAGGTCATTACCCTGGACATGGGTCTTCTAGTTGCTGGAACAAAGTATCGTGGAGAGTTTGAAGAGAGATTGAAGAAGCTAATGGAGGAAATTAAACAGAGTGATGAAATAATACTCTTCATTGATGAGGTGCATACTTTAATTGGGGCAGGGGCAGCAGAGGGGGCCATTGATGCCGCCAACATTCTGAAACCTGCTCTTGCACGGGGTGAACTGCAGGTAATTTGCATTGACATGTGGATTGCTATATATCTTTAGTGTGCTTGCAGTTGGTGGTTCTGGGAAAGACTGTCGAGAGCTTAGGTTGACTGCTGTGCTCATGAGCTGTAGATTGGGCTGAGAACACATAATATTTGGCTTCTTAAAACTTTTAAACATGTGGACAATTTTCATGCTTATTTATGCAATTTGCTAGATATACCTTCTGTATGTTCCCGATTAAGAACCTGTCATCTGAAAGGACATATGCCACCACGGATCTTTTTTTTCCCCTTACTTCCTTTGAACCACATTCCTGTTGCTGCTATGTTCCATTTCATGCAAGCTAAGGAAGATTTGGAAGCAATAAATTCTTCGCCAAAATGACTGTGCCATTGCTTTCCTTCAAGAGTCCTTCCTGGGGCCATTGCACTCATCCTGAAAACCTCTTCATCCTCCATTTTCTTGCGAAGTGTGGGGAAATGCTTGAGTCTCTGCAAAACTATAGATGAACCGACCTTACTCCGCCCTATTCAGTGGGTGGGTATACAAGGCAGTCAAAACTTCTGACCAACTCTATAAACTTGGATGGCTTCACTTGTTTGCTTCTTTAACTTGCCCCTCTTTTAATATGTAATGATGAATAACAATTGCCACAATTGCTTTTCTGGTCTTGTGAGCCTCACGTTGTTGACTGTATTATCATTTTCCTTTCATATCATCAATGTGGCTGGGTTTACCTATGTTCGACATAATCTTGAGAAAGTGGACAAGTTGCCTATTTATTTTTCTCTGAGGAGCTAATCCATGCCAAGTTGACTACTCTCCTAGACTTTCTTTAAAGTAGTGTTATATATCTGCTTTTCCTCGATGCAAGTTTCAGCAAGAGAATTAATTATTTCATTGGTCAGTCAATCCTTGCTTTCTCCTTGGTCAGAGCTTTCTCCATAGATAAATGTCATAGTTATTCAAATTCCATTGGTTCAGTGTATTGGGGCCACCACCCTGGATGAATATAGGAAGCACATTGAGAAGGACCCAGCATTAGAAAGACGTTTCCAGCCAGTCAAAGTTCCCGAACCAACAGTGGATGAAACTATTCAGATTTTGAAGGGACTCCGTGAGAGATATGAGATCCATCACAAGCTGCGTTACACTGATGAAGCCTTAGTAGCTGCTGCACAGCTCTCTTACCAGTATATTAGGTATGAAGCCCCAAAATGCATATACTTTGTTTGTATTTACTCATTCTAAGTCAAGCTCGATATGTTTTACAATGGGCTAATTTGACGTCTCACCACTATTTCGTGGAGCTCTTTGGTTTTTACCTGAAACTTATTGTTGTTTAATCTGTGTTAGTCATATGGATAGGGAATTGCCTCTTTATTTGTTTGTTCAAATACTGAGGATCTTAATTGCCATAGCCTTTTGTCTAGATATTTCAGAGTGAATCCGTGTTAATTCCACAGACTTGAATTTGGGGTTTCGGTTGCCTCTCTGAAGGTTCTTCTAATCCATTTATTGTGCCATGGGAAAAAATGCCATAAGTAGATCTAGTTTCAGGAGTGCTTAAGCTAGTATCTTTTTCTTCATGGCTACAATACATGATAGCGATTTGCATTGTTATCCACTTGGTCAAGACATACTTACTCGTCCTGCTTTCCTCTGTGCTTCAGTGACCGTTTTCTGCCAGACAAAGCCATTGATTTGATTGATGAAGCAGGTTCACGGGTTCGACTTCGTCATGCGCAGGTATGAGCTCTTAATCTGTTTATAGTGTAGTCTGATATGTCTTCCACACATTGTCTTGTTGGTTGATGCGGTCCCTTTCTAATAGCTCCCTGAGGAGGCCAGAGAGCTTGAGAAAGAACTCAGGCAGATCACGAAGGAGAAGAATGAGTCTGTTCGCAGTCAGGATTTTGAGAAGGTATGGAATTTTTCCTTTCCGTGCTTGCCTTTGAAGTATTCTCAAGTTTGGAGTGTTATGCTTGTCATGAGGTGTGATGTGGTGATACTATTCCTTTTTGTTGGAATTACTGTATTGCATTTGATCAGAGTGAGGTGATATGATTGCTGTTGTTAGATTTCCCGCATTGCATTTGATCCCCATCTGCTTGTCTTGTTTTGAATTCGAACTTGGAGCAGATTTATCAGCCATTTTCTCTCTCAAAATTTCTTGTGTCGTTTATGGTTTGTTTTTGCCCCGCTATGTGTTGTTTAGATAAGAAGCTCCATATGTATATTTCTTGAACAGGCTGGGGAGTTACGTGATCGGGAAATGGATCTGAAGGCACAGATAACCGCACTGATAGACAAAGGCAAGGAGATGAGCAAGGCTGAAACTGAGGCTGGGGATGTTGGTCCAGTCGTTACAGAAGTGGACATTCAGCACATTGTCTCTTCTTGGACTGGAATTCCTGTAGAGAAAGTGTCAAGTGATGAGTCAGATCGCCTCCTCAAAATGGAAGAGACGCTACACAAACGAGTCATTGGACAGGACGAAGCAGTTAAAGCCATTAGCCGTGCCATCAGGCGTGCTCGTGTTGGACTCAAGAACCCTAATCGGCCGATCGCCAGTTTCATCTTTTCTGGTCCAACAGGTGTTGGGAAGTCAGAACTCGCAAAAGCACTAGCAGCTTACTACTTTGGATCTGAAGAGGCCATGATTCGACTTGACATGAGTGAGTTCATGGAAAGGCACACAGTGTCCAAGCTAATTGGTTCCCCACCCGGTTATGTTGGATATACAGAGGGTGGCCAGCTCACTGAAGCTGTTCGTCGACGTCCGTACACAGTGGTTCTGTTTGACGAGATTGAGAAGGCCCACCCGGACGTCTTCAACATGATGCTTCAAATTCTTGAGGATGGAAGATTGACGGATAGCAAGGGGAGAACTGTTGATTTCAAGAATACACTTCTCATAATGACGTCTAATGTTGGGAGCAGTGTCATAGAGAAGGGAGGCCGCAGGATAGGATTTGATCTTGATTATGATGAGAAGGATAGCAGTTACAACCGTATTAAGAGCCTAGTAACGGAGGAGCTGAAGCAATATTTCAGGCCAGAGTTCCTGAACAGATTAGATGAAATGATAGTCTTCCGGCAGCTCACTAAGTTGGAGGTGAAGGAAATCGCAGACATCATGCTTAAGGAAGTGTTTGAAAGGCTGAAAGCGAAGGAGATTGAACTTCAAGTGACGGAGAGATTTAGGGACCGGGTGGTGGATGAAGGCTACAATCCAAGCTATGGCGCAAGGCCTCTGAGAAGAGCTATAATGAGATTATTGGAGGACAGTATGGCTGAGAAAATGCTTGCCAGGGAGATCAAAGAGGGCGATTCTGTTATCGTCGATGTCGACTCTGATGGGAATGTAACTGTGCTCAATGGAAGCAGCGGTGCTCCGGAGCCATTAGCTGAAGCAATTTCCGTGTGAATGGGGCAACCTCTTCATGCAACGTCTGCTTAGATGCGAAGGGAGTCCCTTGTATTTGAGGTGGCTAATGTGGCCAGTGGTGAAAGCGTCGTGATTTAGCTCAGCAAGTAGCGTCAACAGCTTTTAGATGTGGACTGCTTGGCAACGAATAATTTGGTATTTGCAAATTTGTGTTACAGGGAAGTCGAGATATGCTTTGTTTTAGTTAGTTCTATTGATGATTTATGATAATTAACGATAGCAAGCAGTTTACTTCCACGACTGAGCAAATGTTGGGATTTTCCTTTTGGAGTCACCAAACAATTTCCGGTCTTGGGCCAACAAAAAAAGAAGGGTTATCTTGTGGACTGAATACATTTTGTCAACGACATTATACCTTTTTCGTTGGTTATTTCCTAGGCCGTACTTTTCATTGAGAGAAATATGAAATACCAAAAATACGTGTTGTTTCGTTTCTCATTGACTGATAACTCGTAGATTACAATGTTCTTGATCCACTCTCCGAATATTTATTACCTATCGAGCAACCGCAATAACAACCTGACAGTTTGTCCTGATGCATAAGATGAGAACAAGCTTCATGCACGAGAACGTGGAGAGTAGCTCCGGCAGACGGGCATAAATTATGGGGTAAGCTTAGTACGGGAATGAAGAGAATATGAATGGTGCAACTCTCACTGATCAAGGTCATAGAGGAGAGCATTGACGTCAGATGCCGATGTAGGAGGGTGGTGGTCAGTGAGTTTGCGAGATGCTTCCCAAAGTTGGTGTTCTATTCCAAGTTTCCGCAGCTCCCGTAAACCACGCTCAACTGCCTCACAAAGGAATCTACTCAGTTATGACATTAAATTGTCGATATCATTCTCGATCCTGACTAAAATGAAAACCACGATGCTGTGTTATGGCAGTGCATCTGTTCTTTTCTTCGCTATAAAGATCCGAAGACGTTACTCATATTTTTTCTAGCTCATACCACCAGACAAAGAGCGCCTAGCTCAGACACAGACATTCATGAGATATCAGCAAAACCATATACCTCACCTCCTACGACAGGATGTCATGGATAGATGCATCTCTTATTGGTCTGTCCTTCTGTTCGCATTTGGAAGTGCTTTTGAACTTAATAAAAAGTTGCAATAGTGAGGTGGTCCCAACCACATCAAAACCCTTTTTATTTTCCGCGTGGGAAAAAAAAAAAGAAAAGGGAAAAGTAATCAACCTTTTGAATGTATAAAATGCATATTCAAAATTCAGCTTTCAGTTCTATACTGTCACGGGAACTTTTCGTCCTCACCAAGCTTGATTTAACCTTACAAGTAAAGTGGGTTATAGAGAAGAAAGGAGGGGAGTTGCCTACCTTCCACGGCATCATGCGGACTTGGTGTCTGCCCACTCAAGCCGATCAAAGATTGAAGCCTTTCTCTGGCAATGTCTTCTTCAATATGGTGCACCACAGCTCTTGTCCAGAAGTATGTCAACCAAGCCTACACGTCGTTTTAAGTTTAGAAGACAACAGGGATGGTGAGTTTACAGAACATGTGCTTACCATCCTCTCTGTTAAGTTCTGTAACAAGTCAATTGACTAGGCTTGTCTACCTAGCTTCTGGTTTTAGACAACTCAAGGCTCATGGATGCACATCAGCATTCATGCTCGCAATAATCACAACTGAAGAACACGAAGGATGAAACGACATTGTCACATAGAATGACGCTAGAGCTGACCTGTTTGAAAAGAATATCTTCAGCCTCCTCGTTGCTTAGTTCTGTAGAATGACAGCTTAAAGCAAGTTAGGACAAGAATTGTGCTCAACAGTTCCTGACATATATCTCGTGCTTGCATCTCAGAAGTCATAGTCTAAACGGAAGGCCAGGCATTGCAAAAGGCGTCTACTGGTGAAACTGCACCCTAAAATTCTTTATCCCCCAAAAAAGTGGAACAAAATTGACTACTTTGTTTCCTTCAGATTTTTTTAGCTCTTGTTGAAAAGGTGATGGCGAATGTCGTAACTCAACGAAGATTCCCTCTTACCAAATGTATCGATGAATTTGAGATCACCATGAAATCTGAAATCTGAAATACAAAAAATAAGAGGAATGAGACAGTCTAGGGTGGATATCAGCACGTATATAAAACACTCGTATAAATCTCTGAGAGTGGCATGTAAACAGATTTTGCATGTGCATTATCTCAAACTTGCGACTTCAATGTGCATATGAGAAATCGAGCTAAAGGAAGTAGACAATGATCGTTGATGCAATGAAAATTAGAAGAAAACCTAGTAAAACTACTGCACGACATACCTGAGGTGGACTGCCTAACCAAATCGGAACGGCTTTGAGCCATTGCTAGAATGACGGCTTCTTCAACCTACAAGAAGTGCAATGCAAGAGAAACATATGATCAACTTCTCAAGTAACTGTTCTGTTTGTTAAAACAAATGAAACAGAAATATGTATCCAATTTAAAAAGTCAAGAGGACCTTCAAAGAAGATAACTCCTTCAGCCCGGCTTCAACCAAGAGCATGCTCTCGATATATCCTTCAACCGTTAAATCACTTGTATCCTTAACGAGTTTTCTTTTATCTGGATTGTTGCCGCCTGCTTCACATCAAAGAAAAAGAAGTTAAGACTAAATGCAAGTGTGCAAGTAAGTGGAATGTCATATAAGACCAAAAGCTACTAATATTAGTACTGTAACCTGCACACCAGGACTCTTCCTTAGCCTTCACTCCAGCAGAAATGACCATTTCGAATGGAAGCGGAGCTAGAGATGACCAATACTCATGTCTCGATTGTGCTATATCAGTACAAATGCCTGTAAGGAGATAAACAAGAAGTCAAATTCCGCGCCTCAAGAAAGTTCAAACATGCGAGAACCAATTAAACATCTTTACCAATTTTTATGGTAAATACACCTGTTAAATTGATGAAGACAAACTTTACCAGATAAATGTGATTGATTTACTCGTCCAGCTACAAGAATCTGGGACATTTCTGAAGTCAAGGGATAAAGGAAATTCGTTTCATCGTGTAGAAAACTGACAGCTCATGGATTCATTTTCCTCCTTCAGTTTTGCTTTTAACTTATACTTTGATAAAACCGTGTGATTGAACTTCCCATTCAAGTCAACCAAAAAGAAATGTAAATACAAATGCGCAAACCATGTTCAAAAATCAAAGTAAAGAGAATCTGCAAAGATTATTACCATGTTCTACAGCTAAACCCCAATATCGAGCGAGCCAACATCTTTTCAAGACAACTTCCTCCTGAGATGGGAAACAGATTAGCAGAATATTCAATTTTTATTCTAGTTCAGAAGTCTTCCATGCATACCTTCTCATCCTGCGTCAAAACCATTCTATGTACTATTGTGTGTAGATCATTTACTTCAGAATTTGCCTCCTGAAGTAGGGCAATAGCTGCTTCTCTATCTTTTGTCAAGTTCTAGTCATAGTCGAGGCACAAAAACAAACTCAGAAAGATGCCAACAGTTAGCATATTTCACATCATATATGGACGTGCTTTACCTCTATTCTCAAACGAAGAGCTTCTATTTCCTTTTCTTTTTCATTCTTTAGAAGAATCTGTAACAAGAATATAAGTTCTTTACAAACTTCGGGCTCTAAAATCGAAGAAACCTTGAGAATCAACAATTCTACATGTACTTCTTAATTCACCTCTCTTTCACGCAAGATTTCTTCTCTTCTGCCATAGATCAAAACAACGATCAGATCATTACCAAATGATGTTTCAAAGAATTTGTCACTTAAAAAATCCACAAATTTACCTCCGTGAAAATTCATCATCAAGGGATAGACCTTGTCCAAGTTTGGCAACCTGTATACGTAGATGTGGCATCACAGTACGCAAAAACTTCTGTGCAGCCTACCAGGCTACAGTAGCATAATGGAATTTCCCCCCACTAACAGCACAGATATTTCATTTGACATATAAACAAGCTGACCCGTAGTAGTGAAGTGGCTTGCTATCACTGATGATCAAAATAAGCAAGTTGAAAGACTGCACTCTGAGCTCACGTGACTGCAATGCACTTATCATCAATTTCTATGCAAACCAACCCATTTCCAACTTCATTTTTCAACTTGCTAAAAAGTATGGCTACGTGATTCCCACGACATGATGGCAAACTTGCCGTTTGAATTCTCGAATGTTTCATTCCATTATTGTATATCTTCTCAAGAAATTTGCTCCTCAAAACAAAGAACCAGCTAAGTCAGTAAACAGGACCTTGTTGCATGTTAAGTATGATTCGAATTTCCTAGCAATTGCTAGCGTGTTTTGTCTTTCCCACTGACAACTGAGTAATAGTACTACAGGTGAAGCAGCATTGGCATTCTTTAATTAAATGAAGCTGTTCAATATGCTATAGTCACTAAGACAGGTCTTTGGTAGCATAAAATTATTGATTCGGTAAATATGTCAATCTAATGGTGTCAGCTCCCTTCATTAAACAGTCACTCTGGTGCAACAGTTATGAATAAGAGCTGGCAAAAAGCTACTGACACCTACCGGTGCTATGTAAAAGAATAAGAAGTATGAGCAGTCAATCTGACTGACCTGTTTTTCAAGCTCCCTGGCTCTAGCCTCTGCTTTGCTGCACCTCTCTTCAGATTGTTGAAGCTGCATGGAGATGCTAAACTCTTGAAAAAAAAGAGTGTAACAAGATAATAATGCTATTGTTTCAGACTTCAAGCAAATGCACCTTCTCCCATAGCGAGTAATTTTCTCCTTGTAGCATATCAAGCTGTACAAGTGAAGTCTCAGTCAGTTTCATTTAGCTTATGCTAAGGTTTGGATTGTGCAAGTGAATGCATGATTTGGGATTGTCCTGAAAACCTATTCTTGAAATATATCACGGCAGAGAGGGAGGGGAGTTGTTCAATATACTTCATCATGGAGTGCAGAAACTTCGTGCTTGTTCCCAGTGTCTTGTCGGGTATTGAGAGGAATTCTGCATGATTATCCACAAAAAATTCAGGTGACCTGATAAGTCACGATCACAAGAGAGGCTCCTGACAACTGAGAGCAAAGTCTACAAGGATCAGCAAAAATTACTGAGGTGCCAGACGATAGGAATCATGAAAAATTGACAGTACTGAAAATAAATTTAGGTGCTTCTAAAAGAAATAAGAGTTCACACTACTGTAAGTCCTCCCCTCTCAGATGTAAAGATAGTGTTTACGACTGTAATACATATGAAAGACACTAAAAAGAATAGGTCACGCTAGAAATACATACTCCACAGAAACTATAAGAATCTTCACCTTTCTGCTCTTGCTTTTCTCTTAGGAGGTTGGCTAGGAGGTACAGGAACTAGTGTTTTGATTGGTGACGCCAAAGCTGTTGAAGCCGGCGATTTGGAGTGAATGGTCTGAGAGTACCTTTTGGAGTTCCTACCTTGCTGATTTAGATAACCAATAATCCTATGAGCCTTATAGTCTTATAATTAAGCAGTGTTCTAAACAAAAAAATCATAATACTCAACATCGAAAGATTACGGGTTGCGCAGAGAAAATTCATCAACTTATGAATGAATAAGCCTTGAGCTTATATTTGGAAGATCGGGTGAGCAATATCAAAAAACTTTCTTCGAATCTTGAGCTTCCGTTTTTTTCTATCTGATCACATGCTAATGCTGCCATAATAATCTAGAGGCAAATAGCGACAGCAACCAGTACCGCAGGTGAAGGAGACCGCTCGGTTGTGGTAGCAGGAGTCGAGTGTAATCTCCCAACAGCATTCGAGACATTACTGTTGCTGTTTTGGGGAAAGGAATAAGAAGAAGTAAAAGGAGACCCAAATTCAAAGTCATCATGATCTTCATCTTCAGTACTATCAGCAGCCCTCTTCATCATGGCAGCCGCCAAAAATTGCGAGGCAGCCTGGACATTTGGACGACGATTAAAAGTGGAAGCCGGCGACATCCCCGGCAACGATGATCCATTGCTGTTCCCATGGGCATAGTTCGAGTAAAAGGGGCGATCCTGATCCATCTGCATGCCAGTGGTTCCGTTTAGCAGAGGGATAGATCATAGAATCATAATAAGGACTTCTGACTTCCGACTCGTTGCATTAAATTGATGTATATCTCGGAGAGAAGACTCTGTAAAAACGCAAGGTAGCAAACTAAATTCATTGGACTGATTCAAAGGATGTTACTGAGTCCTTGGTCATATTCCGTGTTCTGTAAGAACATTGACAATCTTCCCAGCGGAGTTTCCTTGGGCATTTCAGTCAGGACTCGGGCATTAATAGAGTTAAGACCGTATAAATGTATGAAGAATCATTTGGACACGACAGCAGACTTCTTGAGAAGATTAATATACGTCATATGTCGTGATCACAAAGGTGTCAAACTTCAGGTGATATATATCGATTAGTTTATGATGTCTTGTGTGCTAAAGCAAATGTAACTGTTGAGAAGCCATGTCAACCTTTCCTCACATTGTCCATGACTGAGTCTTCCTCTTACAAGCAACCACTAAGATGAGATCATCGAATCTGGCCGGGTTGGCTCACCGGAAAACATGTGTAAAATAATTTTTAGAGTCGGGTTTATGACTTGACACCCTTTCTTCTAGATTCCACCCAAATTAGCTTTGCGTTTGGGTCCACCGTTTTGCCTAGCTCATGACAAGGTCTAGTGTTTTTTTTTTTTTGGTCGAAGACAAGGTCTAGTTACAACCTTCCTAGGATGATTTTCTCGTACAGAGGAAGATCCGATGATTGATTGGATGATCTCAACTACACTTTAGACTATAACAAAAATGATAATTGAGAAACTCAGAATTTATGAAAAAGTTACGAGACATAGAACCTCTTTTTTAAACAGAAAAGGTAAATTAAAAACTAATTTTTTTAATGAGATAATGTCACTTTCTGATTAATCAGTAACTATAATAGTTGGGCTGGTAAAATGATTCCTAGGAACGCGACTAGTTTAACTAGGTTGGCAAGGCTTGGTCGCATTTTGACAAACCTCAAACTCTACTTCCATCGGATACTAGTTCAATTTTTCACAAGCAAATGGAAAAAAAAAAAAAAATGGTATGCTCGGGCAAGTGAAATGCACAAGCAATGCAAGTACATGGAGAAGCAAAAATCATAGGTGTCAGTTCAATGAAATGTCAATAGCTATTGTGTCATATATACCAACATTTGTTTATCAGACTTGATTAACACTATATAGTCTCTCTCTTTTTTTTTTAGACTATTGTCTTATATATATATATATATGTAGATGCCTTTTGTTACAGTTTATCTTCCTTACAGAAAATGGAATGAAAATCTTGTGCTGCTCTCTCTCTGTAACACCAAAGCTCGTCAGCGCATGTGACGAAACTCAAATTTTGCTGGTACTCCTCCCTGAGCGCTGGCCAAAAAAAGCCCAGCCCCATCATCCCCTTCCCCTTCTTCCTCCTCTTCCCTCTTCCCCTCGCCTGTCATCTCCCACTCCAGAAGAAACCCTAGGCTCTAGCTCTAGCTCCAGTCTCGCTCTCCCCACACCACCCACGACCACGGCCCCAACCCCCAACTGGCACTGGCGGAGACACTTGTCTGTCCGGACCCAACAACGCTAATAACAAAGGAAGAAATGGCAGACCACCCACAAGCTGCGACGGAGGGGCAACAACAGATGAATGGTGATAGGGCCCTCACTCTGGCCGACACCATCGGTGCCAAGCGGCAGAGGAGGCCCAGCGTCCGATTAGGCGACCTCGGCGGCGACCTCACCTTCGACTCCCACGTGCGAAGGAAGCCTCACTCCTCCGCCGCCGCCGCCGCCGCCGCCGCCGCCTCCTCAGGTAACCTCAGTAGATCCTCCAAGACTCGTCCTTTGTTCAATTTGAGCTCCGACCACCACCACCACCACCACCACCAAACCCTTGAGGATAACGACAAAATCGACAACTTGGATTCCGTCGCCATTGGGAGCTGGAAAGTCAAGGACTCCAAGAAGCGTGCCTCCAATGCCACCAAGAGGGTTCGCTCCAATTGGGTTCCCAAGGTCACTGATGAAGGCGGCGGCGAAGTAGAGGTGGAGAAGTATAGTGGTGGGGAAGATTTTGACGATGGGTATAATGATTTCGATATCGAAAATTTGGAGAGTCCCGTCAACGAGCAGAGCCCGGTACACTCTTTGGAGAATTTGGGTGTGGATAGCCATGGAAATGAGAGGGATATGCTGTATAGGAGACCTGGTAGGGGTAGGAGTAGGGACCACCATGACGCGGTTGAGTTGTCGGGTCCCTCGGACACCGATTTGAGGGATAGGGATGGAAGGTGTGGAGAGGATGGGGTGAAGATTTGGCTTAATGGGTTAGGACTAGGACGGTATGCACCTGTTTTCGAGGTTCATGAAGTGGATGACGAGGTTTTGCCTATGTTGACGTTGGAGGATTTGAAAGATATGGGGATCAATGCAGTCGGTTCCAGAAGGAAAATGTACTGTGCCATTCAGAAGCTAAGCAAGGGATTTTCGTAATGCCTTTTTCTGTTGGTTTTGAGAAATCCTCAGACATGGTAATGTGAGCTTTCATGTCTGTAACAGCTTTTAGCTTTTAGTATGTTCAAGCCTGGTAGCAAGTTTTAAAAAAGTTTATCGTTTGCTCGCCCTTCTTTATTCATGCTTTATAATTTGCCAAATTCTGTTTGTTGCAGTTTTCTTGTATGTACTTCCTTGACTGCAATACTGAAGTAGGCTGGAAACTACTGTTGAAGTTGGTGAGAGAAATTTTTGCTCTTCTTCCAACTATGAAGTAGGAAGAAAAAGAACAAATTTATGCACATTCTTTTAAGCCGGCATATATTGAATTTGACTGTGGTGCTTGTACTAGCTGATGCTCAGAAAACATTTTATTTGGTCGATCTTGGAATAAGTAAATTATGATTTTGCAGCACTTCACATATATTGAATGCTATCGACCTTGTATCAGATTTGCAAGTAATTCCAAAGTGTACAAAGAAAATATATCTTTGCTTCCTTTGTTGTTGGATGGTTTGCATTCCAGTTGCTTTTCTTCACTACGGTATCGAGGTTGTGTTCAGTTAACTGACTTTTGCAAAGTATAGGACAAGCCGGCATGTGACAACAAGAAGGAGATCGTCCTAGTTGTTTAAGTTCTCATACTATTTTGCATGGTCTTGTTCTTACGCGAACATATAAGCAGAGAAGCGATCTGTTTGTTGAAACTGATTGGCACTGTTGGAATGTCATGACCTCACAGCATCAAATATCAGGGAGAGATTTCTTAATAGAGTGTGGCACTTTAGCATACAAGCGCACGGGAGTATGAATAAGATAAGCGTCGCCATTCTCTTGTTGTTGATGCTTCATTACAGGAACTTAGTTGTCCCTTCTGTGGTAAGCAAGTGATTACAGGGAAGTTAGGACAGCTGTGACTGTGGAGGCTGGTGTAAACTCTTTATACACGAAATACAAGGAGTAGAAATTTGGTTTGTAGGGGGGAGAGTGGCAAGAGGCTGTAATGAGTAAGTGCGCAAGGTGTGTGATATTGGTTTATTCTTTGTGAGCAAATAGGTAAATGATGTTTAACTCGCACGATTCTGTAATCTTATTTATACACTTATTGCTCCTAACAGGTTTTGTGATCATGGTATTGGAATGCATGTCATTGATTTATTGGGATCAGGATCGAATGGAGGGATAAATATGAGGGTGTGTTGACCTCTCGTTGTTTCTTGTGTTTTGGTAGGCTCATCTTGTTAGTGTGAAATGGGTGGTATCCTTGACATTGCGTTGTCATTTTCGTTGCCGCTAATCTTTTTCCCATGCTCGGCATGTATGTAACTTTCTGACAAACCGAGATTGTCTTATTTATATCTAGCCTCTTTCTTGGCTTTTGGTTTATATTCGGACGGAGTTATTAGAGGAAAAGCCATGGATCAAAACTAGACGACAGGAGAGAGCTTTTCCAGCTGCTTGAACTGGCATTTTGATGGAAAATCATTTCTCTCATTAAACCACTTATTCACAAACCTTCTGTGGGGCTAATAGTTTCCACTTCAAATTCGATAAAAACCTCTTGTTTTCGCATTTTATAAAGCCAATGTTCTATAGAGCAAGATATGTCTTGACTTCCAATGAAAACGTTCTCTTCTATTGCGGTCCCTGTTTCTTCCTTCTAAAGCTCAAGAAAGATATTATTCTCAAGTGCCTAGACATTTTAAATGCATTAATCCTCGAATAACCTGAGGTGGACGACTTTGCGTATTTTCATCAATTTTTAACAAGAACCTCGTGTAACCAAAATAGAAAAATACCCGAGATAACTGGGTGCGACCCAAATTGAAGATGAATTACTTCAACAGTTCAGAAAGAATAACCTAGAAACAGCTGCAACAATGCCTCATTTGGATTAAGAGCGACAAGAATCTCATACAAAGAGCCAAAAAGCTTTTGTACAATAATATATGGAAATCTTTGGTAGAGTCAAAGACTCCCTAGGCCATAATAAATTACTCAAACATGGAAAACTTCTGTTGCGTCCACCATTGCATCATTCCATGGAACAGGATTAAATGCCTATCCCTCTTTTGTAGAGAATAAACAAAGCTCCATAATCAACCCCATGGGGGAGTCTTAGTCCTCTTTGATCATCCCTTCCTCCTTTTGCAGCTTATTGGGCTCAGCGGGGAAGTATTTGATGCCCACCAAATCACCCACTGAGCTGATAACCTGTGAATTAAAAGCAAGAGAAGAAAAGTATCAAAATGCGAGTTCAAGGGGTGGGGGTTTCACACCTCAATGAAAGATTTATCTGGTCTGCAATTCACCAGGTTCATCCGTGTAGTACTTAAAAAAAAAAAAAGAAACTCGTGCACCATGTTACAAATTGAACTTGATGGACAAAATTTGTCTCGGGATAACACAGCTTATCTCTAAAGATGTGCACGTCACGTGCAAGTCACGTTCAAACCTGAGGTGCACATCTTTGCTTGGCTCAAAAGAGATTCTCAATTTCAAGGATATAAAGAAAAAATTTCTCTAGGACAAAAATTTTGTTCTCCATGATAAACAGTAATTATAATTTTGCTTGCGCAAGAAATTTGTCGTCTTATAAATTGAACACACACGAGCATCTTATTCAAAAATGGTGCACACCAAGCCAAATCGACCTGAATTAAGTATCTTACATTGCTTGACGCTGAACTATTTGATCTGGTTTGACAGGTCAATCTGACTTATTTTGGCCAAACTTGTGGGCATACCTAATTATTGGAGGAGTGGGTTCCACACGTAATAATAAGCTCGAAAAGAAAAACAGCAGCAAGTATGAGAATCATTGTGGTGCAAGTACGATATCACTTGAAATTTCCTCGGCTTTCCTTTCTACATGCATCGGAAGCTCGTGCTCAAAATTATGCAAAGGACACTAGGGCCTTAAAGTGTATAACTTAATTGCTCCTATCTACTTGAGAAGCGCCCACAGAAAAAATTCGACAAAGCAGGTACAGGAGGGTCTTCTAGGTGGGGGAACTGGTATTAGGAGATTTCCAAGTACAAATACAAAAAATTACCTCCAAGGCCTTGACAAGGTCTTCTTTAGTGTGAGAGGCAGATATGCATAAACGAGCTCTAGCCAAAAGGAGTGGAGTAGCTGGAAAAGCAACTGTAACTACAGCCACCTGCAAGAGCATTTCACAATGATTATTCTCGACAGATACCAAGCTTTGTGGCTCCAAGGTATCCTGAGCTAAGCAATCAGATATTTTCAGGTTTATTAAAATAATATGGCTTCCAGATATGAGTAGTACAAGAACTTACATTATGCTTGAGACATTCACGAGAAAAAGCAGGGATTTTTGCTGGATTGTACAGCATTATGGGCATTACAGGAGAATCATTATCCCCAAGAACCTCGAAACCCATCTTCTGCAGCTCTGACCTGAAAAAATTGCTGTTTTCACGTATTCTTGCAAGTTTTTGTGCCCCTGCATTGACAATAAGACTCTGCTCTTTCAATCACAAAATCCAATCAGAATAAATCTAGGGATCTCGCATAGGGGAATTTATGACCTCTATTAGAACCATCCTCTCCAAGAATAACTCTGATGGCTGATAAAATCTGTTGTGCAGCTGGAGGCGATATTGACGTGGCATAGAGATGAGCAGGGCATGTGTACTTCAAATATTGTATAAGTTCCTGAAGAAAAGGAATAGTCAATTTCAGAGAAACCAAAATTGACACCATAAATCTGCCTAAATTTATCAAGAATGGAAAGGAATTCTTCAGCATGAGAAATGACACAAAAGACAAAAGGCACTTGAAAGTGAATCAATTGTTACATAATACTCACAGCCAGCGAAGTTGGTGCAAATAAACTATTCGTAACTGAGAGACTGCATTCAGTGCAAGAAAAATATTTGCAGTTAAAGAACTGCAAACGCTATCCATGTGCTATCAAAGGGAATTAAAAAAAATCCAGCAGATACAGGAGAAGGTTCTATAAATTTAATAATCAAATCCAGCCTTTGTTTAGAAAATGTCTGAGCCTAAATTCTTACAGAAAGAAATGAGATAACTCACCAGTAGGGTAATAAAAGATAGAAATAGGAAGTAGAAGAAGCAGACAAAGTCAAAAGCTATCGCACGTGAGATTTGGGTGGTCAAGAAAAGAAAATGATGTCGAACTTTTTAATAAGGTACTTAAGGAAAGAATGATGAATCCTCGAATTAACAAGCCATATCTCCATTAAGACAAGAATCGACAGATAGGGAAGTCGATAATAAAGATAATCTTCCATGAGCTTAGTTATCACCCAGACATTTAACTGTAATACTTGATTGTCACAAAAATAATTAAAGAGCAGGCAAGCCAAGAACCTTAGATCCAGCAATATAGCCGCCACATGAGCCAAATGATTTTGTGAAAGTTCCCATCATTACATCAACATCAGCAGTGTCAACTCCCAAGAGTTCACAAACGCCTCTTCCCGTCTTTCCAACTGCTCCAATGCTGTGAGCCTCGTCCAAGTAGATATAAGCCTATGAAAAGATTAGGGAAAGAAATGCATCAATAACATAGTTTAATTTTTTTCAGTGGAATTGATTAGGGCCTCGAGCAAGATGCATTCCGGTAAAACTTATCACCTTATATTTCTTGCATACAGCCACAATCTCTGGAAGTTTGCAGAGCTCTCCTTCCATACTATATATACCCTCAACAACAACTATTATCTTCTTCCATGGTCTATGTGTCCTCGGTTGCCCCTCAGCAATTTGCTCCCTCAAAACCTTCTCTAAGTGAGATGGTGCTAAACAAAAGACGGATCCTTTAAGTGAGATATTACTAAACAAAAGATAAAGAGAAAATCACATTCATCGTACTGGATCATTATTTTCTTACAGAAGATCCCATGTGCAATACACAATCATTCGTTTTTTTTTTTTTGGAGAACTAGTTTATTTGGCCTGTGCAATGTTTCCCTTAAAAATTTAAATACATACATACAACATAGAGACAATAATGCTTTATTGATCATATTCACTTCATTAACCACATGACGTGTTATGCAATGCATCATTCATAATACTATCTAAAAGTCTAAAAAAATAAGGCAGACTTCTCTTTGGTTACATTCAAACCACAAGACATTCATTATTAATAAAAAAATTTATATGAACAGCTAAATAATCTCATTGGCACTTTAACATAACGTATTCAAAAGTCTATCATATATTTACCATCAATTCATCATTTCAGCACAACACATGCAAAAAGTATTGAAAAAGATATTTTAACTATGGACTAGTAAACCAGTATGCTCTTTGTGAGGATAAAACAAAAGATCCAAATCTATGAGGTATTAATATATATGAGAAGAGAACCAAAAAGCGAGCATATGTATATATGTTTCAGCTAAAGACATCTACCATTTTACTTTCATTAAGTGTAGAAAAAGGTTTATTTTGTCATTAACAAATTCTCAAGCGTAATTTCCCATATAATGTTATCCAATAACAAAAATTTATTTGGCTTTCGCAACATCAGAGGACTCGATCATTTTCTACACTTGTTATTCTTTAGTTTCAAGATAACGATTCTACCTAAACCCAAACAAGTTTTTGTTGTTCCATTAGTTCAGAGTGTCATTGCTCCAACATTGAATGTCATAAATCAAGTAATCAACACAGGGACTATGCAATACGTACTTGTTCTGCTATCGTCTTAATGCAGTCAATGCACCAATCCAGACATTGCTATGGGGGCCATAGATATCGATCAATAATAGTTCTGACTGCTCAGATATATTACACTTAATAATAGTGTCTTAAAAATATGGTAGGCTCAAAACATAGATCGATGTCTCAAATAGGAATTACAAATATAATAGACAAGTGAAAAGGTCCCTAAAATAAAAGTTCTTATAGGTGATTAAATCTATTTTATTCTCTGTCACTACAAGCACACCCAAATTTATACTAATTGCATTCATGTCACCACTGAGTTAGCTGTTGCCATATTAATGAATAAGTCATGTTCGGCTTCACTAGCCTGACTCATCTAATTAAATAAATCGCGTCAACCGAAATAGCGACCTAACTAATGTTAACCTATCTAATTTGTTTTCATATAATCTATTTTTATATTGGTAACGACTATAATATAAGTGAATGCTGACACTAATCATTGTTATACTTCAGCGAAATATTTCCATTATGAATTTTTTATACATTATCTAAAATGGACATCCGATTATTCCACGTGTTGAAATAATCCTATAAACTTTTAGAGCACATCAATTTTATGAAAAAACAATAAAAAAAAGTTAAATCTTATCTTACAAGTTCTGTTTTTTTTTTTTTTTGGTCAATAGACCTGTTTGGATTGTCATTTTTGGGTAGAATTAATACAGATTAATCCTTTTAATTAGATTGATTAAATGATCGTGTTCAAATCATCTATTTAATAATCAAAATGTGTTAAAATTGAATTTTATAACACGATTTTCTTGGGCTGTGTTAGAGTAGTTGACATATTTAACAATTTATCTAAAAGTTGAACAGCACAAGAACAACCCCCAAACACAAGTTGTCCCCTCCTAGCCTAATGACATTTAATTTATAAAAGGCACCTGCATTTTATCTACTATACTCTTGCAAGACCATCATCCATTCAGGTCTCCTCGGGAAATTCTTCCCTCGACTTGGTCCACTAGACCAAATCCATCATATCCATTGATTTTACGGAAATCCAACATAGGGTTCGAGTAGGTCTCATGAGATTAACATTGTGATCGACCTGGCCTAGAAAATAAGTACCCTTCCCCCACCCTTACGATTAAAAAATCAAAGAAGTAGAACATGGGCCTCCGCATTTGATGATGTCTTCAGAAGAAACGAAAGAACTAAAACAGATTCATTCATTTCAAAAACTCACAACTTTGCCATTGATGAGTGCCGACAACCAACAGCTCAACAAGCGGCAGGAAAGTGACAAAGTAGGAGAAGTGATTTGTTTATAAAATTACAAAACTACAGTTGAAGGTGGAGAGTGGAGAAAATGGATTCACACTTTTTATAGATTGATAGATTCTGCACTTAAAACAGATAAATCCTTCAAGGAACTTACTGTTGTGTTGGAAAACCTTTATTGTAGCTCTGGAGCCTCTAGCACCACTCACAATTGAGTTATGGTTCAAGGAATCGCTAATTACCAAACCTCCCTGCAAATGAGATGGGGAAGTATGCGATTAATGGATATGAGAAGTATCTTAGCAGCATGGCCTATATTTTTAGTGTGTGCACCTTTCCAATCAGAACCGGAAGAATAGCAGAATTTGTCACATAACCCATGCCAAAAACTATGGCAGCTGGCTTTCCCACAAAAGCTGCGACAGACTCCTCCAACTCATTATGCAGAGTCGTAGTTCCTAATAAAATTGTTCAATCAGGGACAGTTTGAGATAAAATCGAAATTGCGCAGAATACCATACATACCTCCATCAACACGAGAACTGCATGTACTTGGTGAGAATTTCTTAAGTGTCTCAATAACACGGGGAGTACAGTATTCATCAGCAGCAGCAAATCCAAGATAATTGTAGGATCCCAAGTTGAGACACCTACTTACATTCGTGGTTCGTCTGCATGAGATGCGAAGACACTTGAATTTTGGGATGTAGGAAGTACACAAAGGGGAGTTCTATTCGCTTGCAAAACATGATGGATTGGCCGAGTGCAAAAAGGAAGATAAATCAGCAAAAGTGTCGATTGACATTCTGGACTCACTTTAAGGTCTTGTTATTATCATTGGAGAAACGTTCTACAACGTCAAACCAAGCATCGGGAGCACTTGATATAGGTCGTCCAAAGCAGTCCTGCAAATCTCAAACATAATAATGCACGAAATGCATTTGAATGGAAAAGGAAAGAAATCCGCTTGCGGAGATAAAAAGCTGTACGATGCGTGAGAAATGATTTTTGCCATGCGATGGTTGTCGGGCATCGAGCGGAAAGAGCAGGTATGGAGTCGTACTCTTAAGTAGTTAGTGTCGTATAGTTTAGTTGCTTCATCATTTCCCGCTCTGTAACTGTGTGAGTTAAATTGATTCAACATGTAAAGAGCAAACGTGCATTCAGACTCAAATTCTGATGAATCAATAAGTTATAAGTCCATGTCATTGGCTGTGAAATGAGATAAACATAGCGGAATTTTGCATAGAGTGCAAGAACACCGCATAAAATCCAAATCTAAACTATTCAGAGGCTAAGCAAGTAGAATTGGAAATATACCCAGATAAAAAGGGACCAACTTTGAAGTTTCTGCAGTTTAGAGTAGGGTAGGGAGACGGCCATTTACAGGAAAAAGAAGTCCCATCTACAGGCACGAGCATAAAAAAAAGTACCTGAATCCGGAGATACAAGCGACGAGTGTAGAAATCCTCGAGTCCCAAGCAGATGGGCGCATACCCCTAATTTGAAAGAAGAATTCCATGGATCGTCATGACGCGGATCGAGTGGATAAGAAGAAGAAGAAGAAGAAGAAGGGTGGGGTAAGACGAGAAGAGAAACCTGAAGATCGCTGGAACGCCACCAGTCGAAGATCTTCCGGAAGAAGTCGCGGAATTGACCGAAAGCGAAGAGGAGACCGTAGCTAAAGTAGGTGGAGAGAGCGGTCAAATACGGGATGGTGATCATATTGATCTCGCCTCTACTCAAAGAAGCTCGCTCCCTCCCTTCGAAGAAATCAATGGCGGCCAAGGGGATCTGCAGAATCATCACAACGACCCCTCGGATCGGATCAGAACAAGAAGAAGAGGAACACAAACGCAGCACCAACACACGCACACGGACACGCGGAGCAGACACGGGAAGAGACGTACCGAGAGATCGATCCCAGGATCCGAAACCTCGTACGAGGGAGAGGGGCAGGGATTCTGAGTTGGGGGGGGAAGATGCTCGATCGACCGAATCTGCTCCTCCTTTTCATATAATTCTCGGGCTTCCCCTATTTTATATCCCCTCCCCTCCTCTCTGTGAATTATTGGATTGGATCTTTCAAACGTTAGGAAGCCATTTTCGCTTCTTCTGAATTCCTCGTTTCTGCATGGAGCGAATTTTCTGGGAAGCGTTGCGTTGGCACGGGAGAAAGGTCAAAAAAGATAAGCTGAACCCGAAACAAGGTCGTCGGTCAAGAGCCCATCGGAACGGAACACGGTGCCGGGCCGAAAGGTGGGATCGATTCGATCGTCAACCCGTGATTTGTTGGTAGTGAAAGTTGATTTGGGCTTTTAGGCCCATCGACCGACAAATGTAAGGCTTAGGCCTCGACAGGACCATCTGGCGATATCCTTTTGCATTTTACTATTTAATGGTTTTTTGGTAATAAGTTCGAGCGTAGCACGAAATGCACCCAGATCTCTACTGGGTTTTTGTAATGATTGGGTATTATTTACATCGACGCATGCTGGTCAATGCATGTGTTTGCTTGATTAGGGTTAAAGCGTGCGACAAAAATGGTATGGAGGCAAAAGGTTCGGAGTAGTTAGAGGTGCTTCATAATGCGAACCAATGCTTGACTTCTAATCCTCCCCCACAGCTGTAAGATGTCTTCCGACTTTTAATGATTGCAATTAGCAAGCCTGCTTTGGAATTAATTATACTATAACAGTAAAAAAAAGAGGGGACATAGCTAACCTCAACATCCTTGCAAACCACGTTACATGTGAATTGATTGACGGATTACCTCTATTTTGTATGATATTGCAGTCTAGTATAATCACGTCAATGTCAATTCCACGTTCAATCCGCACCGTCTATCCTGTTCTTAGAAGAGGGGTCACAGCTATGTGCATCGAACACATGCGGCATAGTTCATGAAAATATAGCATGTGAATCCGTGACAACAGTTGAAAACAATAATGGGTGAATGATTAATTAACGAGTTTCTAACAATGGAGAGATTAGTAGATACAAATCATTTAAGTTGTGGTATTTGATCAAGCAATTCATGAACGATTCCGGTGAATGAATGCTCTTAATCATCGAGAGGATAGAATTAGGAAGAAGTGTTTGGAAAGATAATGATTGAAATAGTTGTTTTCATCATAATAATGCATGGCAAGTTCAATTACCCGATGAAATCCATAAACATATGTTAGTATTCAAAAGTAAGGAGAATACCAAAGTTTAGACCTTAGAGCCATGAAGTTTGCTGTCTCATTGAAACAGATCCACCAACTTTGCTACATCAAATAATGAAGAAAGCTTTAAAGTTTTATGGCTTTTCGGTAAATAGCATAGCGAGGAGAAGGAACGAGGTGCGGGCAGGCGACAAAAAAGCGCAAGCATATATAACGAGTGGATATTTCATTGTAAGAGAACGATATAACTACAAGTTGAAATCGCGCGATCAAGGCAACACTAATAGAAACGTTCCAGGCATATAATTGCATGCGTGGGTCGCAAATGAGAGTAGTTTCAAAAGGAAAGATTTCACATAATTAATCTCTCCGTGGAGCCGGAAAGAATCACGAAGAATAAACTATATATAAAACCATAAAAAGTAAGATACCGGGCTCATATCTTACTCAAAATGAATAGGATAGATCAACTAATAATTTACCAAGGTTAATATTGAGATTATAAAAATGAGACAAAACTCACTTTCTCCCTCAAAAAAAAAAAAAAAAGAAGAAGAAGAAGCTAGCACCTAGCAGCAATAGATATGGGATGTTATGGTTTTTCGGTAGCATCCAGGTTGCTCGTCTCGGTCCCATCCCAGGGTCATGTCACATGGGCTTTTTGACTTTGGAACGGGAGAGGAACGCGATGCATTCACATTTACTCACTTTCTCATTTATGGTGGAATTATGCAAAATTGACTTGCGCCATCGAACGAGTTGACTCGTGGGATCCACATCCCCGAGTCATCCGATCCTTATTATTATATCGTTAAATCGCGTCACGACGTCGACGATGGAACAGCGCGATTGCGACCGAGAGGGTGAGCGCATGCAGAGATGCGAAACGCGCAAGTCAATCGCTTCGCTTTGGATCAACAGTTAATAATTAAATGCGACACGTAAGGGTTTCCTCTCCCCTCGGGAAAGGCGAGGAGGGCCGGCGAAAGCGACACGATATACAGCCCAAATTACTGCCCAAAAGAAAAAAAAGAACTCTGACGAATTTCCTCTCTCGTTTCGAGGAAGTCGGTACAGGACAGGCCAGGCCAGGCCAGGCCAAGTTATATATACGATAAAAGAGCGACCCCCTTTCTTTTTGCCTTTTCTTTTCCCCCTTTGGCGTGTGAAAAAACATAGGAGGAAGCGACCTGGCAAAGGGGCAGGAGGCCCATTTGACTCAGCTCCCTCCCTCTCTCCCCCTCTCCCTGCCCTAAGAGAACACTCCCCACCAATGAAAGATCAGGGGTGGGCCACACCTGTCCCCACGAGGAAGCAATTTTCCCAAATGAATCTGGCCCGTCCAAATTGACGAGTCACGCATGTACGGGCCAATCCTTCTGACCGAGATCTCTCCAATTCCATCATCACCATGCTTTTAGTTTGAGTTTTTAGTTTTTAGTTTTAGGTTTGTAGTAGTAGTAGTAGTAGGCTCCGTCAATCTTTTGATGAGCTGAGCCGGCTCAAAGTTCAACTCTCTCTATATATGTCTTATTTCCAGAGCAGAAGCAGCGCGGTGGGTGTGGGAAATGCGCGCCAGCGCGCGCCTACAAAGCCAAAAAAAAAAAAAAGGCCCAAGTCGCGCTCGGCTTCCTTCCCCCCACTCACTCACCCGTCAAACATATATCATCATCGCACCTTCGCTCCCCATCTTTCAACCTTTCCTCCTCTCCTTTCCTGTCCTCTCAGTCTTCTGCGCCTGTCTTGAGTGATATCTGGGAAAAGCAAAAACCAAACCACCCCCCCAAAAAAAAGCTCTCTGACCTGACCGCGACGTAAAAAGGAAGGGAAAAAGCCGCCATGAGAGCGCCGGATGATCAGGAAGACGATGACCCCGTGGCCATCTGCAACCGCCTCCTCTCCTCCCTCGCCTCCGAAATCCCCCGCGCCCTCCACTTCAAGCCCAAGTGGTCCCTCCTCCGCTCCCACCTCTGCCTCCTCCCTTCCCTCCTCCCGGACCTCTCCCCGCACCACCCACTGTCCCTCGACCTGCTCCGCTCCATCTCCCACTCCCTCCGCCGCTCCCTCTCCCTGGCCCTCAAGTGCCAGCTCCCCTCCCTCCCCGACGGCAAGCTCCACACCCAGAGCGACCTCGACTCCTCCCTCTCCCTCCTCCTCCGCCACCTCCACGACTGCGACGTCCTCCTCAAGAGCGGCCTCCTCCTCCTCCTCCCCCCCGACCCTTCCACCTCCTCCTCCTCCGCCCTCCTCTCCAAGCGCGAGTCCGTCCGCGTCCAGTCCCGCGACCTCGTCACCCGCCTCCAGATTGGCGCCCCCGACTCCAAGAACTTCGCCCTCGACTCCCTCTCCGCCCTCCTCGCCGAGGACGACAAGAACGTCATCATCGCCGTCGCTCAGGGCGTCGTCCCCGTCCTCGTCAAGCTCCTCGATTCCGGCTCTCTCGAGGTCAGGGAGAAGGCCGTCGCCGCCCTCTCCAGGGTTTCCACCGTCAACAGCAGCAAGCCCGTCTTGATTGCGGAGGGCCTCTTGCTCTTGAACCACCTGCTCCGCGTGCTCGAGTCCGGGAGTGGTTTCGCCAAGGAGAAGGCCTGTGTTGCCCTCCAGGCCCTCAGCTATTCCAAGGAGAATGCCAGGGCTCTCGGCACCCGGGGCGGCGTCTCCTCGCTCTTGGAAATCTGCGTGGCCGGCACCCCGAGCTCGCAGGCTTCCGCCGCTGGGGTTCTCCGAAATCTGGCCACTTTCCCGGAAATTAAGGAGAACTTTATGGAGGAGAACGCGGTCGTGGTCCTCCTGGGACTCGCGTCTTCAGGGACTGCTCTGGCCCAGGAAAATGCAATCGGGTGTCTCTGCAATTTGATAGCCGGCGACTCCGATTTGAAGCTTACGGTCGTCAGAGACAAGGGGATTGAGTGCTTGAAGAACTACTGGGATTCGGCTCCGAGCGAACGGAGTCTTGAAGTCGCGGTCGAGTTGCTGGGCCAGCTCGCATCGTGCCAGCCGATTGGGGAAGCTCTGGTTTCGGAGGGGTTCATCGCTAGGTTGCTGTCGGTTTTGGACTGCGGAGTGCTGGGCGTGCGGATTGCGGCGGCCCGAGCTGTTTGTGAACTGGGTTTCAGCCCGAAGACCAAGAAAGAAATCGGGGAATGCGGGTGCATTGCCGCATTGATCAAGATGCTAGATGGTAAGGCCGTCGAGGAGAAAGAGGCGGCCGCCAAGGCATTGTCCAATCTCTTGCTCTACGCCGGGAATCGGAAGATCTTCCGCAAGGACGCCAAAGGGGTGACGAGCGCGGTCCTGCTCTTGGACCCTTCGATTCAGAATCTGGACAAGAGATACCCCGTATCCATATTGACATCGCTAGCGCATTCTAAGAAGTGTAGGAAGCAGATGGTGACCGGGGGGGCATGTGCTAATCTGCAGAAACTGGTGGAGATGGATGTGGAGGGTGCCAAGAAGCTGTACGATAGCATCAGCCGCGGCAAGATATGGGATGTGTTCACCAGACCATAGTCCAGATTTCTTGAGCGGAAGCTGATCTTGGTGACTGTAGAGGAAAGATTAATTTGTCCATTTCCTTGTATGTACGTTAGTCCTCCTTTTACTTCCGCTTTTTTTTTTTCCACTATTTACCTGTGTTTGTTTGTTCGTTCGTTCGTTCGTTCGTTCGTTCAAAGCGAGGAGTCCTTGTTAATAAATCTGTTTAACTGCCCAAAGAAAATAGTACAGAACCTCAGTGGGTGACCTAAGTCACCTAACTGGGTTGACGTTTCCTGGGTTTTGCAAAGGAGCCCCCAATAAGTAGTGTTTCTCTGTTTGATTAATTTGGTTCCTTCTTCCTGGTAGGCTTTTGAAGTCTTCCTCAACACCCCAAAGCGATGTCGATGATTATGCAATCTCCAGAGCTTCCTCTTTTCTTTTCTTTTCTTTTCGTTTTTTTGCCCTTTTAAAATTCTGGTTTACCTTGTAGATTGATTCCAGTTGTTGGGTACATCGCTCGATGGTCAACTCTCGCCCTTAACTGTTCTGTTCGGGCGTATCTTGAGGGGGGGAGAGAATAGGTTTCATTGTATAGGATAGTTGAGGCTCATCCTCCCTTCAATACTGGGATCTCTCGAATGGTGTGTTTTTTGTCTTTAAAAACAAGTAATGGTCGTTATGAAGAGCGTGCGTGCTTATTTTGGCAGCTTGTATCATGAAATCTGAGGGAAATTCCACGTTCTCATTCTTCTTTGTAAGCTTCCATTGGACTCGTTGGGGAGGAGGGAATATATTCGAGATGGAATTATATGTGATGATGAGATTATTTGGTTTTCGTAGGGGAGTGCATGCATTTGGTGGGGGGGTGGTATACCATGTGCGATTGTTCTTTCGACCATGTGCCATCGTCCCACACTTTATGTGAGGCTTTGGACTGTTTTGTGCCGGCCTCAAAAGGTAAAGGACCTGCTGGAAAAACCACTTGATGGAAGCATCCAAATCAGTGTCATGAGGATAATATCTTTTCACCTGATAGGATGTATGAAGCAGAAGGAAGTCTCCATTTGGTCTTCAACAGCAGACTCATGCATTATGCGCCACCAATACTTTTCGGACGGACCAGTTTGGGTATATTTGTGATGATTATTCGGGTTGAAAGTTCGGGTCCTTTAAAGAGAAAGGGGGGCTAATCATTCTGCGACCATCATTGTCACAGAAATAGCTAGGTCGGGTTCTTCCTGGATAAATAGGTTTCGCACCCTCTAAATCAACGGCCAAGTACACTACATTTACCTCCCAGAATAAAGTACATAATTCCAAACAACTGGTGGAAAATAGACGAGGTTGAATGCTGTATAATATGATCTGATTGTAAAATGCGGAGCTCTGAAAATAACCTTTCCAATCCAATATCCAATCTCAACAAATGTCCGGGTCAATAATCTCTGAGAGAGAGAGAGAGAGAAAGAGAGAGAGAGGTTCGGAGATGGGACTACTGCTGTATCATTGCCGTAGAGGGAACAAAGTATGGCATGAGTATGGCATGTAAGGACTAGGTCACCCTTCAACCCAACTTGCAAAACCGAAGTTGGTATAAAGAATAGCAATCATGAATTTCACAGGATAATCTCAATGCACCAGAAATTACCTTACCATTTACAGATTGAAAGTGGGTTACTGCCCCCAATATAAAAAAGGCCAAAAGTGATCAAATGTACAGATATGTACAGTAACTTTTCATGAGGAAATTTAACCTATACAGAATCTCTGATGCTGTGTCCAACTTTGTGTAAAGAAGGTGTGCTGGACCATTCAGTTTAAGTTGAAGTATTTTGGATCTGATGGAAAATGATACTCCACGTGCAACTGCAATCCAAAATCAGCTACTTTAAGTAATGATTGTAGATGAAATTACGGATGAGATCAATTCCATTGACCATGGAAGCAGGGGACTCATGAAACTGATACCAGACCCGATTTATTCAAATTCTCTTCATTTTTTTAAATTGCATAAGGACTATGCGAAAGCTAAAAATTATCAATGACCGGAAAGAATTTATGGAGAAATCATAACACCGCAACATGGCCGGAGACATGAGATTAATAACAGACAAACCACAGCCTACACCCATACAAATCCAGCTGTAGCCCAAGCCAGTGCACCTATTTCAGCAAATGAGGTGACATATACCTTGCCTTCATCTGAGTCTGAATGCCGTTGAGGGAAGACAACTTTCAAGTCATTGTACAAGTAGAATCGCCGTGGCCCATCGTTGCAATTGTTTTCCCCAGCTGGAGCAGATGATGGATCAGAGTTGCACCTCCGTACAGACCTGAATTTCTTGGAAAATGGGCAAAAAAACCGGAGATGAAGGGCATAACGCAAAGAGCCTCTAACACCAGGGACCTGATTGACCTTTGATGAACTAGTAGGTATTGTATTTGTATCTGATTGGGAGCTCCCATCGTCAGTCTTTGCAGGCTCATCATCATTCATGGCGAATTTTCTCAAGTGATGCGGAAGATCATCGATGCAGCCAGAGCCTTTTGCCTTCAACTCTTTATTTGGCTTTGCTGATGTTTTCACATATTTAATATTATCTAGTTTCGAATAATTATTGCTGGGCTGTGAAGAATGTATAATTGCAGACGGCTTAAAATCAACTTTTGCACCAGTGTCTCTCAGACTTCCATTTTCCACCTTAGGATTCGATCCAGAAGATGCTAACATGATTTTTTGACGCATGAAGGTCTGTTACCGGGCACACCAGGAAAAAAAACAGGCGAAAGAAGAGGTTCAGATGTCAAGGAGCAGGATTGGGGTATCCGCTGAATTAAAAATAAACTCAGGCAAGCAGACAGAAAAAGTGGGTTCAAAGCACACGCCAACTTAGGTCCTAGTGAAAATCATAGGAATTCTCTCGTGAAATGTGAGGAGCTATATTCTTCTTCTTGTCCATTCCCCTCATTCTATCTACACATAAGCAGGCTGCTTTCAATTCAGCTTCACAGTCAAGCAAAGGGCAATAATTATTCAAAATATCTTCTTCGGAATTACAGCAAGCAAAGCGCAATAATATGCAAAAGCATGAGGAACCAGAATTTCACCATGGACGTCATGTGACTGTACTAACACATCAAAGACCCCTACCAGTGGTTTTTTCATCTTAGCAGAAACACAGGCACACAAACTGAAATCACTCGTACCTTTGTACCTGCTGGCATGTCACTTAAGTCATAGTTACAGATAAACGTGTGGATAGGTGTCTTCTCTGGGTTGCTAAGAATCTGCTCAAAATAAGTGCACCTTGTAAGCATATGAAGCAGCATCACTCATTGTCTTGTATTAATAATGTAGTTGAGCTCATTACCGGACCTCAATGATTGAATCAAACATGTATGTGCACGAGCTTGTGTTTTCAATCTTAAAAACGTTTCGCTCTGGTTTTTAGCAGGCTTTCTGGTGAACTCTTTCAGGGCATTCATGATAAGAATACAATCAGGGTTTTGAGAAACATCAGAAGAGTGATCAGGTCTTATGAATGAACCAATAACTTGATTAGATTAATTGAGTAACTTATATCCAATCAAAAAGAAACGAGCTCAAGAAAATAATTAAGCTCTAGAGAGCCAAATCTTGTTGCTTACACAAGTCCACTATAAAAGGACCAACTATAATGTGCCTCTTCCAGTTCAAAACCGCCTGTGTTAACTTAAGTTGAGGTGATTCAAGTGTATTTGCATAGAAGTTTCTTTTGTGTAGTCTTTTCATTTTCGATGCTTATTCCAAGCAACAGTTCCACATTCCAATACCAGTGAATAACTACAGTGGAAGGTGACCTCGCAGTTAGCGAGAGAGTTTGAAGCCTTTGTTTGCTTGATTTACCCAACTTCACTTCAGGCAACATGGTAATTGGTTCTTTTGCTTTTCGTTATTGTTTCTTTTCCATCACACCCTTGGACATTTCACTCTTTCTCATAAATCCTAATATACCTCAGCTAGATCCATTGTATGGCTACAGATAGAAACATAAGCGAGAAAAGGTTCCTGACTTGATTGGCAACTAATATAGACTTTCTTTTGGCCAAATTAATTTAGACTTGATTACCATTACCACTATTCTAGGGTTGAAGGTGAATGTCAAGAAATTACCAGTTGTATTCGGCCTTTCATGGGTATACGCAGGGAGCTCTTTTCTTCTTGTGAACTGTTCGCACTCTTGCTTCTCTTTAGTTTTGCTCCCTCACAAACGTCAGCTGCCAAGGTATCAGAGAGACCTATAGAAGAGTAGTACAGTAAGTGGTTATCTCCGTCTACACTGGTGACTGCAAACGGAAGTTTCTGCACTTTGGGAGAAAAATCACCACCAGTGACATTAAGAACAGCGAGAAAACCCTCAATTCTCTGCATATGAAAGTGATAGTGAAAATCAGATTATCGGTTGGAAGTGATTAAGCTAGGCACAAGTCATAAGCTGACTTTACGTCATACACACGGGATATAAAATCGAAGGACTTAGAATGGTAACCTGGTTGACTTTACACGATGAGAGCCGACCTGACAAGAGGGACTCCTCAAATGAACCCACTAATGATCTTCTAACTGGAAACTGAACTAATTTGCAACATTGAGAGTTATACTTTAAATCAGGACCACGATGCTTTCCACACCCAGTGGTGCTCTCTGATGTAAAGGAAACGAATTCTTTGGGTATTGAATTATTTTTGTGCAAAAATTGAGTATTCTGAAAGTCCATCCCCACATCAGAAGATAAAACATTGGCCAAAGCTCCATCGAGCAACATTTCCATGTCCTTTGAGGCTGTACAGTCATCCTCAAAATTCTTTGGAATGCTTTTGCATCCGCTTGTGGATCTCATCCTATCAAAAGGTTTTGGCCCCAGAGGAGACAGAGATAATGGAGGTGAGACTGCCTTTTCCCTGGGTATGTCTATGGCAACTGATGAGGACCTTACCTCAGTTGTTCCTCTCATATGATTCGTTCCAGGAGTAAATGTAGAAGATTTAGACTGCATTGCCATTTTCTCAAGCAAAGGGCCATCAGTAAGAGGAATGGAACTTTCTCTGCAGTCATCTCCAAGTGGATTCTTCCGCTTTGAAAGATGGTCCGCTGACCGGATAGTGAAGTCAGAATCGCCAGAATTGCCAATATGAGCTTTTTTAGGTTCTTGCATTAAGGAGATGCCATTTTGAGAACTACCATTTACAGATATGCTTTGGCCAATATCTAAAATGTCACCATCAAATTGGTCTGGGAGAAGCATTCCATTCGGAGGGGACAAGACTCGCTTCCTGGCTAGGGAGCCAGACCCCTCATTTGTCCTCCCTGGTCTATCAACCTGACTGAATAAAGACGGGTTTCCATTAACCATATCTGACAGAAAATCTGGTGGTCCCAATTCAAAACCCACAATCCTAACAACAGGTGCTCGAGTAATCTGCCCCCTTTTACCATGCAACCACTCATGTTGATCGATGGCGTTAATTCTCAAACTTTGCTCCTCCCACTTATTGTCTTTATGCTTGTACAAGTCATCTGGATTCCTTGAAATCTCGAAGTTAGATTTCCTTTGCAGTTCTCCAGAAGAAAAGGAAGCCGGAGCCATATTCACACGTATCCAGTTCCCGAGCTTCCCTTCATGCACTGCAGTCATGTCATGATTGTGTGCACCAGCAACAAGAGATGTAGCCTGCACAGATGTGCTTACCAGTGCTATATTGTTATAAGAATGTCGGGGGCAATGCCATTTATAATTCAAGTGTGCACTTGTCACAGACTCTTCTACAATCCCTTTAGCTCGGGTTCATCCTCTTTTACACTGCTCCGCCCTTGCTGAGAAGTGTTTCCACATGGATAGAATAATAATGACAATTTCATTTCGTTTCCTGAAAAAGCCTACAGCCTCAATTGTCCTGTTGGACATCCCTATGGGCGCCATCAAGTGAGACTCTCATTCAATATTTATCGGTTGTATGTCTGAGCAGTAAGTTGAACCGAGGGACTATGCCTTCTCAGGTCCATTATGGATCTTGGACAAGACTGCTTGGTCAGTTTGAGCTGAAACCAGAAATGGATGAGGATTACACTCCATCACCTTACAGGGACAAAAGTTTATGCAGAGAGATGCCCAACCCGGTAATGCAGTTCCCAAAGGCGAAAGAAAGAATCTGATCGAAACTGTTTTGAATTTGAAAGGATTTAGCGTATCATTTTAAACGATCACGCGAATGATAACATTCATTTCCAGGATTTCACAGGTCCTTATAGCATCTTCTATTTTACAACCATGCTACCGAGAGGAAATACAGAGATGGAACGAACTAAGACGAAGGATACTTTGTTTGGTCAGCTCTGATGAAAAGAGAACCCGATCGATGGAATTGAATGCAATGAAATGTTTGCCAATGCACGACAGCTGAACATTCTACCCCAAAATGACGAGACCAATCCTACTCTCGTATTTCAATGGAAAGCAATTGAGACATGGAACTTTAGCGGTCAAATCATTCTTGGGAAGGAGAATGACACCAACTACCGATTCGCATGGAATAAGAGTGGCAGACGAGCTCAATCAAGCTGAGGGGGGGGCAAGGCTAAGGAACCAGCAGAGACGACATTCTAGTTTTGGAAATCGTAGATGACACGAGAACGAAACTACAAGTACCACGCGACCGAGCCAAAATGTATGACAGCCAATGGACGCAGATTAGCAGCAACCAACCGAACGCAGGCGAAACACAAAAAGCCCAAGGACAGTCTAGAATGGAGATATGATCGGTTACAAGAAGGAGAAAAAGAGAAAAAAGAGAAGGCGCGAGAGAATGACGTGATCACGCACCGGCAATCGCTCGGCAGTCAGCTCGTGATCACCAACACCATCGTCGTCGTCGTCGTCGTCATCAGGATCGTAATAGAAGAAGAGGGGGCACTCCGCATCAATGGTCAAGTCAAAAGGGGGGAATTTTCTCCTCCTCCCTGGTTAATAATGGTTATGGGGAGGGAAAGAAAGAAAGAGGCTTCGGCTTCTTTATTGGGATAACGATGGGAGGAGTGGATGCGAGCCTTCCAAAATGACTCACCCTCGACTCGCTCCAGTCCTCACCACCACCACCGTTCTCTGTTTCGTTTTTTCAAAGTTTTTTTTGGTTTTCTCTTTGTGGTTGTGGGTGGTGCAGAAGGAGTGGGATTGAACTTGCGGCTCCATTTCCATCGACGTCCGCGTCGATACGCTCGCTGGTGGGCCTCATCGTCGTCATCAACAGCGATAATCCATCTTTTGGGCCTCGGCCCGATATTCCTTCTGGGCTGCGCCCATCTCCATTCTCGCGTCCGCTTCGAGCATGGCCATTTCATTCATCTGTCCCGCCATCACCCCCCCGATTTCACGTGACGACACAAATGATTCATGGATTTTCGCTTAACGTGCAATGTGATCCATAAATTTTTAATTTGTTCAATGTGGTCCTTGAACCTTAGTTCAATGTGCCATGTGGTTCCCGAACTTTTAATTTGTTCAATGTGGTCTATGAGCTTTTGGTACATGCTCAGTGTAATCCCTGAACTATATGAAATTGTCCGATGTCGTCCTTCCATTAATTTAAGTTCAGGGATAATATTGAACATTTTCATATAGTTTGAAGACTAAATTAAACATGTGTAAAAAGTCTGGCGACCACATTGAACAAATTGGAAGTTTATGGACCACATTGCACAATTGGCTACAGTTCAGGGACCATATTGAACAAATTAAAAATTCGAAAACCACATTGCACATCGAATCAAAGTTCATGGACCATTTGTGTCATTTTCCCAAAGTAAAAGCGAGTCCTCCACCCTTGCCATATTTATTCATTGCCCACTGTCGTTAGAGATGACCATAAGCACTTCAGATTTACTTTTAATAGTTTACTTAATCAAAATCTCACCGTCTTTTGGTTTTATTATTAAATTCAAAACACCCGAAACTTTCACAACCTACAAACCCCGACATGCAAGTTTACACTATAAATCTTTTAAAATCTGGATGATATTTTAGAATTCGAAACGAGAAGAAAAAACTTTTTTGCTTTAATTTGCTAAAGCACGAGCAATGCACTTTGTATGTATAGCGAATGATATCATCGGATTCGTTATCATAAAATCAAACGAAAATTGTGCTCACATAATATGAGGGAGTGAAGAATAACACCTTCATCTCCTAATCACTATTAGACCCGATCAATCCGCGGAGCAATCCTGGTATTGGGATCTAAAAATTCTTGCAAAGGCTCACTTATATGCTTAAAAATTTACTGACTTTTGTTATAAAATGACCGGACCTATATGGACCTAAGCAGGCTCGACCCGAAATGGGAGGCTGTGTGCCCATATCCACATCCACACGCATTTTATCCATTCAGGTCTAGTCGGTATTGACTTCCATGAAATATACTGCCCTAATTTCATATGAACCAAATAAGATGCAAGGAAAAAAAACCCAGTTGGCAGCTTAAATTGTTTACAGTTGGTGATGAGGAGAGTTGAACTCGTGTCACGCGCTTCATCCACATCCACATGTACTCATTTTCTCTTCTCTCTTAACGAATAGATTGATCTCATGTGATTGCATATTTTCTATTCGACAATAGTTCAAAGCAAATCCTAGTATACAATCGCATTATTTGATCCTAAGAATATAAAATCCTAATCCAATTAAGCATATTTTCAGTTACGGTTTCGTCCATTCCTTATACATATATATGAATCACGGCTAGAAAATATTTGAAGAGTTGGGTTGCATTAGGAAATGGATTCGGGACGAAGTCAAGATGAGAAAGTTGGATCCCATATTTCTCTCCTGGAATGGCGGCGGATGATTTTGATCAAGGAATCGTTAACACATGCATGGCATGGCACTGATACTGCCAAGCCAAAGGAACTTTGTACTGCACCGTATCTCGACGACGACGATGGATCGATCCAAAAGCAGAGAAAAAAGGGGACATCTTCGCTGCGAAGGAAAGTACCAAACGCATATATCAAAGTGCTAATCGGATCAATTATGGCTGCTTCCTTTGACTTTATTTAGCTTCCTTTTCCAGAGGGTCTCTTGCTTTCCTTCCCAAAAGCATGACTTTTCTGATGGATTTGCCCCTTCGATCCTTCTTTCGAATTTCAACGGGGAACTCTTAACGAGAGCACTGTATAGAGCAGTCGTCATCTCGCCCGCTTGCTTGCTCAGTGCTAACAAAGAGAGGTGCGGCCTTATAAGCTTTTTCATGTGTCATATATATGTTCGCGCCAAACAAAGCGACTGATCTACCGTGGAAAGTCACAAAAGTGGCGTTAGAAAGCCCCCTCTCCTCCAACGCATGTGATGAAGATCGAAGCGTCTTTTGGCGCAGAGGGATAAATCAAATGGCCAACCCATTACAATATTATCGCACAATCATCGAGCAAAACTGAAAGGAGATGATCAAATACGAGTTATTTTTCTCTCATTATCTTAGAAACTCCTAAAAACACGAGCGGGATCACATCATTTGCTATACAAATCGCCAGAAAATGGGTTGAATCTTTCGCATAGTTTCGCTGATGTTATGTATATGTTTTCTTATTAATCAGGTTTAGATGGTTACGCACCAAAGAGCTCTCTAACTATCCTTTTGTTGTAATTTATAGTGGAAAAAACTCAATACCCTGATGAAAGCTACTCGACATGGACTATCTGTGGATCAACATATAGTGCTTAGGTGATGATGTTACTAAATTCTTCGTCATCTAGCTAACGCATTTCTTTAACGTTCATGAAGACCTTCAATTAACTGTCAGATGTTTTCTTTAACTTGTTGCTACTGTTTTGCGAGTGTTGCATGTACCAAAAGATTCGCAGAAAAATGGAACATAAAAACTAAGATGCGTCAAGCAACGATTTGTTATGATCTCGGAAATCATTATTGTAGAGATAATGGGTGATACAATAATTTGTACACTGATGAACACTTTGAAGAACTAACATTACAGTCATCATAAAGGAGGACGCCTTTTTATATAATTTCCCAGCAGACCCACTCCCGTTCACTTCTCATCGCGACGATATTATAAAAGCCGAAGGTCCACACACACTCTACCACTCCTCATCGCATGCATTTCATCAAGTTCGATCCCGATCCTGAGGACGAGTTTGTGTTTGCATGGCAAAGGTCAGCCAGTTCGGAGTCATCGGATCAATGAGCAAACTGCCTCCTGGCTTCGTGTTCGAACCAACCGACGAAGAGATATTATTTGAGTACTTGCGACGCAAGATTTTCGCCCTTCCTCTCCCTGCCTCCATCATCCCCGAACTCATCAACCTCTCCAACCATGATCCATGGGACTTGCCTGGTAATTCATTTGTCTCGTTGGTTCAGACTATTTTGTATCAGCTCACCACAGTGTTGATCGTATAAAACCATTAAGCGGCAATCTCTCGTGCATGTAATGGGTTTGCCTTATGTTTCATCTTAATTATTGTATGTGGCGTATGCAATGATTAACGACGCAGGTGGTGGGAAGCAAGCGGGATACTTCTTCAGCAACCTCATCGGAGCCAACAACGCTGTCATCCGAGCAACTTCTTGTGGATACTGGAAGGCACAGGGCGTCCCCAAACAGATCTCGCCTTCTTCAAGCGATGCTCACAACCGCATGATGGTGGGGATGAAGAAGACTCTGGTGTTCTACAGAGGGCGGCCTCCGCATGGGTCTAGGACGTCTTGGGTAATGCACGAATATCGCCTCGTTCCTGCACCCTCCGCTGCTCGTGCCCCGCAGCTGGTAATTGAATTTTTTTAGATATGTTAATACATACACGCATAAGGTTATGCGCATGACCGTTTTCTCCATTTTACATCGTTAGTTGTACTTTTACATTAGTCATTAGAACATAAACCCTCTATATATCTCTTTCATATAATGTGTTAACTGCTCAAGCTCAACTTTCATCTGTCTATCACTGCAGAATTCGTGGGTCAGCGAACTAGGAAGGTGGGTTCTGTGTCGCGTCTTTGTGAAGAAAACAAGCAGCGGCAGCCGCAGAGATTTCACAAGCATGGACGTGTCGTCGTCAAGCGGTAGTTGCATCACGGAGGACTCCTCATCAGGTGATGAGAATGAGGAACAGACTAGTGAATGGTTTCGTTCGTGAGCTTAGTTATATGTAACTGACGGTGAAAGGACCATTGCCGGCTTTCAAGATATCTGTGAACAAGATCTGATGAAATCTACAGTCGTGCGATTGTTGGTGTCTTATTTATCATCCATTCGATACGCCTTTTTCTTCAGCTACATAGCCCGCAGGAATCTTCATGCTTGATGACTCCACGTGCTATATATTCGACCAAGCACAACGCGATTATATCTATTATGCTGACATGATATGCCAGTAAAGTTAAAACTTTAATTTGAAGTAAATTAAGATTAACAAACAAGCATCGCAGTTTATCTAGAAACTAAAGTTGAAGCATATCCATTTGAAGTAAACAACTACTTTGAGCTTATAGACCATAAAGGGCAAGCTTCTTTTTTGACAACTTAGGGGAAAAACTTAGGGGGAAAACTCTTCTTTGTGATGTCAAGAAAACATTTCCCTATATTCAGATATTGGATTTTCAATCACACTACTCGCAATCCGCTCCGACAGGTAGACACGTGACCAACATAAAAATTGAATCATTGTCTGGGGAATATCCTAGATCCGAAATAGTCAATAAAAACAAGTGTAAAGCTAGCACAACGGTGCTGTAAGTCTTCAATATGATACGGTGGCTTCTCTCCACTTTTAATTTTCCCTAGAAACCGATAACTTGTTTAACCGGTTCCCTTGAAAATTTAGAATTGAAAACTCTTACTTGGTGGGGAATTCTTCAAATCTCACTCAGTGAGATTCCTTGAATATGAAGAAAGAATAAACAACAAAAGGAAACGGATAATTTTAAAGCAAACTAAATACCGAAACATGATTATCAAATGTGGAGAAATATGATCAATAGCTCACAAGAAATCATTAATGTCATCAGAAAGATCTAAAATTTCAAAGATAAAAAAACCACTTGAAATGCTGGCTTTGAGACTGATAACGAAATCATTGTGCATTCAAATTGCTCATTGTTCTTTTCACTCGAATCAAGTTATTCCAGAAGGATTCTCTGGTGACCTGAAATCAAGACCGGTGAATGAAAGACGAAACTCATCCAAGAGTATTGCTTGGAATTAGGTATCCTGATGAAGTGGCAGGGCAGGTTCCAATGGCTTTTGTGGTGAGGAAGCCTGGTGCATATATTACATAAGCTGAAATCATGGGTTTCACTGCTGAACAGATGTAGCCCTCCTGGAATCATCCATTTTGGAAAAATCTTCTTCAGTTTTTAGATTTTCCGGGAAGGGGAGAGAGTTGATGTTCTAAAGATGTTAAATGCAAATGCCAAGGCATTTATTCACTTGTCAGTGAAAAGAACTAGGACTCTATTTTTCTCGTTTTCAAGGGAAACACTATATGAGGAAATTCCATCAAAACCACTTAACCTCCCAACGCTTTCGGCGAACCACAAATTACAGACGGTACGTAATTAATTTCAGCGAAACTGGAACTGGAGTTCAACCTACTGAGATCCCCGAGCTCGAAAGTTACGCTTCGAACTCTTAATAAAGGGCACTCCGGAGCGAACTCGTGCCTCTTCGAAAGCTTAAAAAATGAGGAAATCGGAGGGAGCGTGTGCGGGAAGAGGAAGATGAACCTCGACGATCGATGCTTGGCGATTTCCTCCGTCAAGCTGTACCCTCTGAAGTGAAATTTTTTCTGAGAAACTCCGAGTTCCTTCCGGGAGAGTGAAATTTTAATCCCTGAGGGAGAGGGACATAAATGAAAATGGCGAGGTCAACGAAATCTCAACCGCGTTTGAGAAAATTACCGGTACACCATGTTATTCTACCTGACAACAAGAAAACATCGCGTCATTTGAAGAAGCCAGTATTTCATCAGGCTTATCTGGACTAATGGAGTAACCTTTGGTTGCAAATTTCACTGACAAAGTTATCCAAGGCATGAGGGAAAGCCATAAAATGAGCAGCTACGCATCAATGTGGTTGTGGTTGTGCATGCACAGAAATTTAGAATCTAAGCCTCAGCTGGGCTAGAGGTTTGACAGATGTTAGTCATCTTAGTTAGTAGTCAGATTTGCGGAAAAGGGAGTTTGACAGTTGCTCGCTATTCTCGTGAGAGTTGCTGATGGTATTGAACTGGATGGGATGCATTAGTATACGATTCAGCTAAACTCGTGCACTCAAGAGGATTTGATGAGTAAAAGTTTCATATTCTCTCTCTATGGCTTCCCTCTGCCGTTGTTCATCTCTTTCCTAAGAATTTCTGTATTGTATCACAGGGATACGGCATGTCCCCCACTACGTGTCTACATTGCAAAAGAGAAAAAGAAGAAAGACAAGAACCTGTAATGGCAAACGAGTTCAAGCGAAGCACCAGAAACGCCATCCATGGCTCCACCGTGCTAGGCCTCACCAGAATCTTTATCGCCACCTTCTCGCACTCTAACTAGGTTCACTTCAAAAACATTCGTGGTGGTGACAATGAGATTTGGGACAGGTCCGATCTCTCGCCGCAGTGGGTAGTCCGGTTCAAGATCATCGTTCCGCAACAGAGGAATCCGAGGAGTGAAGTCCGAAGGGCTATGAGTGATGAACCCCCGAAGCACAGTTGTCGATGCCCCGTGGAGCAATGCATCGTCTTATACGCTTCGAAGCTCATTTCGTATGAATGCGGGTGTTACAGCGAGCGAGGGTCTGTGAGGAACAGAAGCTTTCGTCGCCAAGGGTACAACGAATATGGACGAATCGAGGATGAGCTTGGCAGCGACGATGATGAATTTTATGAAATGCAGAGAGTGCAGAGAGAGACTAGGGTTTTTGTGTTTTCAACTACAACATACCTTGAATTTTTATTGTGCTACAGTCATTAATTCTCGATCAATTTTTTTTATTAGTATGTGCAATGCACGTGATTTTTTAGGCGACTTTTCTTTATCCTTAATCACTGCAAAAATGAAAAAACATATAAAATGGGAGAAAATATAAATTAGCTAACATTCTAATAGAACAAATAAATACGAGTAAAGTTAAACAGCAAAAATCTTTGAAATTTGATAAATATAACCACTTTAGTAAAACTATATAAGATATTTCAAGAAAAAGTATAAATAAAAAATTGAATACAAATGGAAATGGCCTCGAAAATGCTAAAGCATAAAAATTGGTCACTCATCATCATGTATATTTTAAAGATCAATTTGTGTAAAAAGTAGCTTTTTAATAAAATATTTTGAAAAAAAAATTATAAAAGGAAATGAGGTCTTCAACTTTTGAAAAGAAATGATGAATCGAATTTAAGGTGATATTTTTATTTTTTTTATTGGTCAATCATTTTTTTCATCAATTAACCATATATATATCCATTTTACCTCATTGGAACGGGGAGCCGAACTAGGGAACCAACCTGGAACTGTAACAATAGGTTATGGGTCAACCCGGACACTCGACCTACCTTTTAGAAAAGACATAATTTGAAAAATATAGTTATTATTTCCGAAAAAAATACCATACAAAAACCCGCTACATGGTGGTGAAAATGTTGATGGATTTGCTATGCTATTTTGGCTTGAAACCCATTTTCAACATATCTAGTAGTGGTGCGGAGCCTGTTTTACAATTGCATCCATCTCTTTAGTGTAAGAATTGTAGTTACGGAAAATCCGTGACTCGATTGTTCCAAAAATGTGGTTCGATTTTCAAAAAGAAAGAATTTCTAGGAATTGGTCCGAATGGACGGACATGATATTGTCTTCGTTAAAAATTCGATTGCCATGAATGAACTTAAATAATTTAGATGATTAGAAAACTCTAAATCCGACAAGATCAATCATTTCAAATCATCTAATTGGGAAAAATTTTAAAAAGTGGTATTTTGCATTTTTTTTACCTAATTTAACCAAACTTTGACGGGCTATTCCATCGACTCCATTTTTGCACCTATGAAAACCAAGAGTGTCATTAAAGTGATTTAAGTCTTAATTGTTGCAACTTTGCATGGTGATGCAGAAGATTTATTAGGAAAATGTGCAGGCTCACTAAGTTATTTTTAGCATCCTTTTGAACTTTTGTTACAAAATCCTTTATATTTTTCAATTCGTGCTATAATCATTCATTTAATGATGGAGATTGATAAGATCAAATTGGAAAAGAAGGTGGAGGCACTTGAGTGTCTACTAGAGGATTCGAGGGAGGATGCTGCAGAAGTCGATGAATTTTCTGCAAATCAATACCATGAATGGAAGAAAAAAGAATAGGTGTACGAACGCTTTGTTGACTTTCATGTCAATGCTTTGCAGGTATGTCAGCCATCCTTCTGTTGATATTTTGTTACGTTTATAATGGACTCTTTCACAATGAGTACATTAGATTGCTAGGACTTGAGAGCAGCCGCAGAATTTATGAAAAATGAAAACATAAGATGACACTTATGCATGACAACGATTCTGTGTCGGAGCAGTTCTACTGAAATGATTCTTTTTATTACTGGCGAATTGATTGAGCATTTTAAGGCGTTTGTTAACGACCTAAAATTCCATCCTGGAATAGAAAAAAGAAATGCGTTTGGTAACGTCACAAAATTTCTTTTTATTAATAATATTTTTAAATATTTTAATATTTCTTTCTTTTTTTCTTTTCTTTTTTTTTCCTCCTTCTTGGCCATAACGCTCGCCGGCCATGGCCAGGTAAAATATTTTTTATTAATAATATTTTTATTAAAAGTATTTTTCTTTTTTTGCCATGGCTTGGTTGCCGGCCATGGCCGATAAAATATTTTTTTTATTAAAATATTTTTATTTAAAATATACATTTTTATTTTTTTGGGCCATGGCCTTGTCGCGCCATGGCGGGTAAAATATTTTTATTATTAATAATATTTTTATTAAAAATATACATTTTTATTTTTTGGGCCATGGCACGTCGCAGGCCATGGCCGGTAAAATATTTTTTTATTAATAATATTTTTATTAAAATATTTTTATTAAAAATATATATTTTATTTTTTGGCCATGGCACGTCGCGCCATGGATGGTACAATATATTTTTATTAAAATATTGTTATTAAAAATATATTTTTTTCTTTTTTTTGGCCATGGCCTGATCGCCGGCCATGGCCTGTAGAATATTTTTTTATTAATAATTTTTTTATTAAA